TACTAAAATGTCAGATATTTTCAGTCTGGCGATTATTATGTGGGAAATTGCAGCAGGTGTACCACCTTATATGAATAGAGGTATTGGTCAATCAGTTTTAAGTAAAATTGTTGATGATTGGGGCACAGAAGTGCGTAAAATTGGTTTAGGTAAAGGAATTGAGAAATTGGGTAAACAACATCAAATGGTTGAAAAAAGATTTCAATGTTTTAAAAAAACAGTATTAAAACAGTTTTATGCTTCAGTTAGACCTATTAACATCCCATCATGGCATATTCTCGAAAAAGTTGGGTTTACATATGCGAAATCTGCAGTAGAAAATGCTGATGATCCAATTGATTTTAATGTTAAAGGTTTTGATTTACCTTCGTTAGATCATTATAGTCAACTTGAATCTTTCATTGAAGAACTTTACAAAAAGCAGGAGATAAAAGTTGATAAACGCTATTTTATGATTAATGATAATGATAAAATTTATACATTTAATAGAATGTCCGACGGTAAAATAAGATTTCATTATGAAAAAGAAATTTGTTAAGCTTTAGAATAAAAACCTATGTAATTGCATAACAAATTATAATAAACTAATAAGAGTCGTTCTTTAAAGGTTAATTTTATAATTAAAGATCTTTTTACAACTTTAGTGTAACAAGCTACTTAAAATGTTTTAAAAGAGTTGGAGATATACAGTAAATATAAATTGAGGTGATTTGAATATTGAGATGTAGTGATTTGTTTTATGATATTCTTATTCAAGAGATTCATTAGATTTATTCCGAAAAATTAATAATATATAATACTGTAATATGAAAATACAAGCAATACGTAATTATGTTTATGGCGTTGTCTTTGTGAGAATTTGTTGTAAAAAGTGAACTGACTTATTTTATAATACTACTTGAACAATATGGATAACGTTATGATATTTTGAACCGATTTGTTTTTTAAAAAAGTTGATAACTGGAGCTTGATTCTGATTCGTTATCTAATTCATCCTCTGATTCCCGTAATCAGGAACTGATAATTCCAACTGGGCGCTATCAACTAATTGAAATAAAGAAAAATGCAAATAATCAATTTTTTAGATCAATAACATAAATTTCATTTAGGTGAACTAGATAAAATGGAGATTTCTTTAAAAGATGAAAAGTGTATATCTCTTAACATTTTACTTAGTTAAACCCAATTTTAACAATAAAATATCCATTTAGAAAATGCTTTATTCTCAACCTCTTGAGGCATTCTTTGGTTCTGAAATATTTGTCAAAGTGTGAATACCACTAAAACATCTTCTTGATACAATTTTGTCCTTTACTAATTTGTTAGAGCTTGGATGTATTCCAAGAAAATCTTCCTCCAACATTCCATTATCTTTAGCCTCAATAAGTTTCATTCTAAGTTCTCGAATTTTTTTCCAAACCGTTAAGACGTCAGGTCTATTTTCTGGAATTGCATTCCAGCATTGCTCCATTAGAGTCGCATATTCTTGTGGAATATTAAGATCTATTTTGGGGCGCATTCCTTTAACGATAGCTGATGCTAAATCAATATCATGTTTTTTATTCATATAAGGTGGTACACCTGCTGCAATTTCCCACATAATAATCGCCAGACTGAAAATATCTGACATTTTAGTA